GATCTGTCTGTCATGAACCCACTGCCACCAGTCGATTTTACTCGTAGTGATCCTGGAGGACAGACAGAGCAGAGCTGCCCTTAGGGATTCTGAGACTGGAAGCCTTTACTGCCATGCCCTTCTCCCCAGAACAGCAGGGGTGGGTGTGTGTCTGTGTGATCCTGCCAGCCTTTGGGTTAGTAAGCAAAGGCTTAACCACAATGCAACTGGAGCTCCTTGCTTTGTCATTAAGGGTGTAAAAAACCAATCTTACAGAAGCAAAGCAAAAGCTTCTTTTAGCAGCAAAAACCTTTGTTGGCATACTATATGAAACACTGTTGATTGTGGAGCCAAGCAAGCTAAAGCTGTGTACAATCTCAATCTCTTCACCATCCATCCTGATGCTGCCAGTTGGTCCAGTGGTGAGAATCTTTGTCTTCTTGACATTGAGCCTCAATCCATATTGGAGGCTGCAGTCCTTGACACTCTGCAGCAACCGCTTCAGGTCCTCCTCACTTTCAGCAAGCAGGGTTGTGTCATCTGCATATCTCAGATTGTTGATAGATCTTCCACCAATCTTGATGATGGGAAAGTCTGCTGTTAGGGACCTCTCCAAAGTACTGAAGAGCAATGGTGTCTCTCTGGAGACTAAGGTGCGTCTGATACAGGCCATGGTCTTTGCAATTGCTTGTTATGCATCAGAGAGTTGGACAATGACTAGGGAGGATAGGAGGAGAATTGATGCCTTTGAGCTGTGGTGCTGGAGAAGAGTATTGAGGGTACCATGTACTGCTAGGAAAACAAGCAGATTCATCCTGGAAAGGGCCAAACCGGGTGGCTGCTTGGATGCAAGGATTCTGAGGCTCCGTCTAACATACTTTGGACGTGTTGTAAGGAGGTACCGGTCCTTGGAGAAGGACATCATGCTTGGGAGGGTGGCGAGACAACACAGGAGGGGAAGATCCTCTATGAGGTGGATTGATTCAGTGACTGGGATAATTGGGATGGGTGTATCAGAGATGGTGAGATTGGTACAGGACAGAACGGAGTTTAGGGCTGTTGTACAAAGGGTCGCTATGAGTCGCAAGTGACTCGACGGCACATAACAACAACAACAGCAATACGAAACACTATTCATTTCCTAAACATTCTCTGATTCAGCATTTTGGTGAACTGTCTTCATTTTTGCTCCAATTTTTAAAAAATTTCCTTGTAGTGAAAATACAGAAACACCTGCTCTCATTCTACCACTTCTAGATGTCATGATCTTAGTTTTCATTTTTGTGTGGGTTTGGTTTTGTTTTTTACTTCAAAAAGCCTGTAAACAAAAAATGTTAACTTAAGCCACAAATATGTGGTAACGATTTCCATACAGTACAGGAAGCAAATGAATAAAAATGTCCCCTCTTCTAAAACTCTGTTTCATTTCTTAAGAGTAATCACTTAAGATTTTTGTGACTTCTTTCCAGAAAGTATGTATACCCTTAAAAAAACCCAAACCCTCAAATACAAATGAGTTTACACTGTATGTACAGTTAGGCATCTTGCTTTCATTCACCCTCTACCTTGTTCATTTCTTTGGCTGCAGAGTATTTTGTATGGCTGGGTTGTTACTTATAAATTTGTCATCCAGAATATTTATGTTCATTCCATGTGAGAGCTGTGACCATCCTGGTGCACATGCCTCAAGCATGCTTAGTACTAGAATTGCTGACTGGAGGGTAAGTGCTTTTGTGATTATATAGGTTATCAGATGGGTTGTACCAATTTATACTTTCACTAACAATGTATGAAAATATCTATTCTCTCCCACCTTCCTCCTGGTCCAAATATAGGTTTTGCATAAGCACAATCATATGTTCTGGGATTTCCATTCTTCTCAGAGTTAGCCACAGTTTTGTGATCTGTGCAATCAAAGGCCTTTGAATAGTCAATGGAACACAGACATTCCTCTGGTATTCCCTGCTTTCAGCCTAGATCCATATAACATAAGCTAGAATATCCCTAGTACCACTATCTCTTCTAAATCCAGCCTGGATCTGGCAGTTCTCTACTGATGTACTATCCAGTTGTTTTTGGATAATTTTCAACAGAATCTTGTTTGCATGTGATATTATCCAATAATGTCCGCACCATATCAGGTCACTTTTCTTTGGAATGGGAACAAATATAGATCTCGTCCAGTCAGTTGGCCAGATAGTTGTCCTCCAGATTTCTTGGCACAATTTAGTGAGCGCATCCAGGGCAGCGTGTGTTTGTTGAAATATGTCAACAGGTATGCTGTCAACTCCTAGGGCCTTGTTTTTTTTGCCAGTTCTTTCAGAGCAGCTTGAACTTCTTCCTTCATCATCACAGGCTCTTGCTCATATGTTGTTTCATGAAATTATTCTATGTCAGCCAATTCCTTTTGGTGCAGTGACTCTATACATTCCTTCAATATTGTTTAATGCTTCATGGATTATTTAATATCCTGCCCAAAGCATCATTAAGTATTGCAACTCAAGGTTTGAATCTGTTCTTCAGTTCTTTCAGCTTAAGAAATGCTGAACGAGTTCATCCTTTTTGATTTTCTGGCTCCAGTTCTTCACATATTTCATTATAATACTTTGCTTTGTCTTCTCATGCTGCCCTTTGAAATCTTCTGTTCAGCTCCTTAATTTCTTGATTTCTTCCCTTTGCTTTGGCTTCTCAGCTCTCAAGTGCAATATTCAGAATCTCTTCTGACATCCATTCATGGTCTTTTCTGCCTTTGTAATGATCTTTTGCATTCATCATGGATGATTTTCTTGATATCCTCCCACAGCTCATCTGGTCTTTGCTCATTAATGTTCAAGGCCTCCAGCTATTCCTGAGATGGTTTTGAAATTCGAGTGAGATAGACTCAAGGTCATATTTTAGTTTCGGTGGAGAAGACTCATCAAAAACTTGCCATATGTAGATGACATAACCCGTCTTGTTGAAACTGAGGAGGACCTGAAGCACTTGCTACAGAGAGTCAGGGACTGCAGCCTTCAATATGGATTCAAGCTCAACATCAAGTAAACTAAGATTCTTACCACTGGACTGATTGGCAGCATTATGGTAGATGGTGAAGAGACTGAGATTGTTAACAACTTCAGTTTGCTTGGCTCCACAATCAACATTCTTGGTTCCAGCAGCCAGGAAATTAAGAGATGAATTACATTAGGAAAGTCTCCTGTCAGGGACCTTTCCAGAGTACCAAAGAGCAACAATATCAATCTGGAGACTAAGGTGTGCCTAATCCAGGCTATAGTCTTTGCAATTACTTGCTATGTGTCAGAAAACTGGACAATCACTAGGGATGATGGAAAGAGAATTGAGCCTTTGAGCTGTGGTGCTGGAGAAGAGTATTGAATATACTATGGACTGTCAGGAGAATAAACAGGTTTGTCCTAGAGAGGATGAAACCAGGCTGCTCCTTGGAGACAAGTGTTCTGAGGCTTTGTCTGACATACTTTGAACATGTTGCAAGGGGGACCTGTCCTTGGAGAGGGACGTCATACTTGGGAGGGTGGATGAACAGAGAAAGTGAGAAACACTATTGGTGAGATGAATTGATTCAGTCACTAGAGCAATAAGGATAGGTGTGCCAGAGACAATAAGGTTGGAAGAGGATAGAGCAGGTTTCAGCGCTATTGTACACAGGGTCACTATGAGTCTCAAGTGACTCCACGGCACATAACAACAGCAACCCGTATCTTCATTGATACTAGTTAATTTCAGACATTATTGTTTTGGGTACTGTAGAGTCAATGGTGTCACTCTGGAGACTAAGGTGCATCAGATACAGGCCATAGACTTTGCAATCACTTGTTATGCATCAGAGAGTTGGACAATGACTAAGGAAGATAGGAGGAGAATTGATGCCTTTGATCTGTGGTGATGGAGAAGAGTATTGAATGTAACATGAACTACCAAGAAAACAAACAGATTCATCCTGGAGAGGGTTAAACCAGATGACTCCTTGGAGGCAAGGATCCTGAGGGTTCGTCTGACATACTTTGGACATGATGTAAGGAGGGACCGGTCCTTGGAGAGGGACATCATGCTTGGGAGGGTGGAGGAGGGAAAGACCCTGTATGAGGTGGATTGATTCAGTGACTGGGGTAATCGGGATGGATGTGTCAGAGGCAGTGAGATTGGCACAGGATAGAGCAGGTTTTAGGGCTGTTGTAATATAGGGTCGCTATGAATCGCAAGTGACTCAATGGCACATAACAACAACTGTAGAGTCTGCCAGAGAGGGTCCAGAGGTGGCAGCATATGCATGTGTCCTGAAACATTTGAAACCGGCCTAAAATCAGTTACTGGTTAGCAGATAGGAGCCTGCAGGACCTCCCTCCAGTAGGTTTTCAGAGGCAGTTAATCACCTGGGAGAAGACTGCCCATCTTCCCATGGAGCAGCTGATGGCCTTGAACCTCATGCCTTTGGTATTGCAACACGGCTTTTTGCCACTTGGCTATCAAAAACATTAACAAGTTTCAATTCAGACTAACAGTTTAAGAAAGGTGTCCTAGTGGCACAATGATTATGTGCTCAGCTCCTAACTGAGAGCCTGGGGGTTTGAGCCTCCGTTCCTCTGCAGGTGTGAGGTGAGGCAGTCTGATTCCAGGGGAGCACAGGCTTGGAAAACCTACCGGCAGTTAGTTCTGTTCTATAAAAAGCCATTATAAGACACAATCAACTTAGTGGCAAAGATTTGTTTGGTTTTAATAGGTTAGAAATGTCCCTTAATGTTTTTCTTTTATTGTGCAGTAGGAAGAACATAGATTTCTCCTAAAATATCTATTTGCTGGTTGATTTCTATTTAAAAATCAAAGATCCATTTAAACACTCCTTTGTATTACTGATTTCTCATCATCCTGATGTTTTTATTGGAAAGTTGTCATCCTAAATTATGTAATTAGGTACTTCTTCCTCTGTTTTGTTTCTTTAATTGAAGATGGAGTTTCTTTGCCATTTTGTTCTATTCCCTGGCTGCCTGGGTTTAAATGACTAACTAACGTTTGAGTCGACTTCTCCACTTCTGCGCTTTGGTGAGATCATTGGCAATCGCTTTGATCATTTGATCAGTTGTTTCCTTCAAAATGCTTGCTGTCCTTAAAGCATGTTCCAAAGCTGAGTTTAAAACCTACAGAGGGAAAAATCCACACATTTTAGTCACATAGATTTACTACTGTTCCTGTTAACTGGGTTCTTTTCTTTTTACACATTATAAGGTGGAATTTTTGGACTATTCTCTTTTCCAAACAGTCTCTTTCTGTTTCTGAGGGTTGGTTTCCTAGGAAACCGGTGTGAGATGGAATATATTTGCTAAAGAAAGGAATAGAAAAAAGATCAGCACGTGACTGATGAGCATGAACCAGAGGGTGGAGGTCGCCAACGTGCCAGGCTTTTCCCAGCTGCAGAGAAAGGCCCGTGAGAAGGACAGGGAATGCTCCTGGCCAGGGGTCAGTGAAGGAGAGCTAGGGGCCAGAGAGGGTCCAGAGGCGGCAGCATATGCATGTGTCCTGAAACATTTGAAACCGGCCTGGAGATCAGTTACTGGTTAGCAGATAGGAGCCTGCAGGGCCACCCAACCCCAGCCACAGTGTCCGGGAAGCCAGCCAGGAACAGACTCCAGGGCCTTCAAGCCTGGGCCAGTGGAATCCTTGGACTGAGAAAAAGGCCCACCCCACCCCAAGTGCTTTCTCCAAGAAATATAGACCTGGGACTTAGTTTGTGATTGCGAAGACCATGTGTCTGTTAAGTCAGTGCTGAGCACAAAATTGTTTTTAGCATTTTCTGTCATGTCCTCCTTCCCCAACTCCCCCTCATTTAAAAGCTTAACTGTTATCCATTCTGTAATCAAGACCAAATTTATGACTTACAAAAAATTCTAGATTTTTGAGGCAAGTCCTTACTTCAGATTCCATTTTGTCAGTGTTCCTGAAGTCGCTTAATGATTTGCTTCCATAAATCCTGCGAGAGGGGGAACGGGGTGAGGGCGTAGTCAGGTTGGAGCCAGAGGTCCCGAGAGCTGTCAGATCTTTTCTGGAAGATAAAAGCAGATTGAGAAACATGCCCGCAAGCATCAGCTCCCTTTCAGGTCAGTCTGTGGTTCAGTCAGACCCTGTGTGTTGGGGGCAATGACCTTGGCTTTCTGCAGTTCCTATTGTCTTGTAACAGCTGACCACAGCTGTGCTTCAGAAAATGGTTTGTTGCCGTGACCAGGAAGAGAATTTCCTCTCAAAATTTGGTGTAGAGAAAGACAAGGCTCTAAAGAGATTTTTATTCCATATTTATTGTTTTAGGGACAACCATCTACCCCTAAGTATTTATAAACAAGTACACACATTATTAATTAAAATCAACTGCAAGCACCTTGAGTTTCATTCATTCTTGCACCAGTGAGCTTACACAGCAAGGCGACAGCAACAGTAGAAAAATAAAAGCTGCATCTGTCCCAGACTGCTTTGCTGTATGCGTGAGTCTGTGGCTTAGGGATGATCCTAAGTGCGTACTAGGTGAACAAGGGGAGCCAGGACCACCGTATACAGTTGTTCAGGTTGTGCGCTGCATAGGCCTAGCAGGTTTCACCTACATCTGTCTATGGGGAGCTACTGTATGCACGTTCATTAGTGGAAGAAAACCTTGCCTGCCAGAGAGAGGTCTGCCATGGCACCCCACTTGGCTGGTTTGAGATTCCCTCACATAGCACATGTGTGAGCTCTATCATCTTCAGAAAGTCTCCATTCAGATGCTGTCTTACCCCAAAGCTCCCCACTGTCCTGCCCTCTCACACATTAACTTTGGTTTTGCAGGTGGAATTAACACAGTTGATCTCTCCTGTCGTTGAGAGGGATGACTAGGCATCCGGGTGGCAGATAAGGGGAAATCTCAGGCAGTGCATGGCAATGTGATGGAGGAGGGCGGCGGGGGGAAGCATGAGCCTCAGAGTCCTCCATCTCCCTGAATCGTCATTCAACACTTTTCACAATATTAGTATCAGTCGTTGCTTAAAAACTTACTGAGTCGATAACGATTCCTAGCAACCCTATAGCACAGAGCAGAACTGCCTCCGAGGGTTTCAAGGCTGTGGGTCTTTACTGAAGCAGGCTGCCACATCTTTCTCCTATGCAGCAGTGGGTGGATTCAAACCACAACCTTTCTATTATCAGCCAGCTGCATTAACTACTGTGCCACCAGGGCCCCACTGTTGTTGCCATCACTGTTGTCATTACCATCTAGTTGGAACCAACTCACAGCTGACCCTCCAGTGGGTTTTCAGAGGCTGTATATTGCACAGGCAGAGACTGCCCATCCTTCTCCCACAGAACATCTGGTGCATTCAAACTGTGTACCTTTGGGTTGGCAGCATGATTCCTTACCACTAAGCCTCCAGTGCTCCTTTATTGTGAGCTAAGTACCATCCCAAATGCTTTACTCGTTTAATCCTCAAGGGGTGGGGTGGGGTGTGGGGTGGGGCTTAGGACGATTATCATTACCATTTTGAACACTGGAAACTGAAGCACAGAGAGGTCAAGTAATCTACCCAAGGACCTAGAACCTAAGCACAAACCCAAAATCAAACCTAAGCTGTGACAGAGAGCAGATTCAAACTGAGCGAGGCTGCTTCCAGGGCCTGAAGTGTCGCACCAGGGATTCTGCCCCTAAAGCAACTCTTGACTCCATCCCCCTGGCTTTGTCTCCTCCTCCTCCAAGGCCAAGCTACTGTCCTCTCACTCAGATTCTTTCTCTGTGCTCCTGCACTCCAAGCTCCAACTCTTGACTCCTCTAATCCACTTCTCATTTCTGCTTCCAATCCAACCACTAATAGCCAAAGTTATCTTTTAACAAAACAAAAATTAAAAATGGAAACTCTCTGCTTGGAACACTTCACTGGCTCCCATTGTTTCTGAAATGAAAGGCCCAAATCCTTCCCATGGCAGACGAGCCCTGAATTGTCGGCCCTGCCCAGCCCGCCAGCGGCACCTCACGGGCCCTGTCTTGCCGCCCTGCTGCTCCCTCTTTGGGGTTGGAGTCATACTTTCCCTGAATTTGCCAACGGTCTGCTCATCTCCAACGCAAGAGACCCAGCCCACTCAGACTAGAGCATGCCTCAAACCTACCCTGAACCACCTCCCTGTGAACTCTTCAAACGTATCCTTGGAAGCAAAGCTCCCCTGAACCCCACATTAGGTCAGTAACACTCTCTACGTCCTGGCACAGACAAAGACTGACTAGCATCTCCAACTACATCCAAGTTTTACGAAGGCAAGGACAGTACTTGACTTATTAAATCTGAGTTCTATAAAGGCAGGGATACTACTTGATTTTTTAAATGTTTCCCCATGGTGCCCCAGTCACCTAGCACTGTATGCTGTGTTTGACATCCAAATATTCCTTTTAATGAGTTTAGTTTTAGCTGTGCTTAGGCTTGTATTCTGAATTTCCACACTGTTTGACCTGATGACCTTGGGCAGAGAGTTGAAACATCTACACAGTGTGTGGCTCCCAGCCAAGGTAGTCATTCCCTGTTATCATTGTAATTCTAAAACACTTACCTTGGCATTGGCTCACATTCATCTTGTGGAGATTTCGAATTTGCTCCCTGGGAACCGATTCTTTTTGGTTTTGAACAAGCTATAATGTGGAAGTTAATGTTAAATACAGAGCATTAAAAAAAATGCCAATTTAATTTTTATAATATAAAGAACTCTTAAAATGTAACAACCAAAACATCAGTAACTCACTCAAAAATAGACAAAAGAGGGGAGCTCTGGTGGCCTAGTGGCAAGGAGCTGCAACTACAATCCCAGAGGCGAACGGTTCGAATCCACCAGATGCTCTGCCGGGTAAGGAGGGGCAATCTCCTCCTGTACCAGTCAGATCTGATTTGACGGTACACTCCACAAAAATAATAAAATAAAATTTAAAAAAATAGACAAAAGAGTGAAACAGATATTCCACCAAACAGGATGTCCAGTTGTCAACAAGTGTATAAAAAAGATATCCAATGTCATTGTTGTTGGACTCAATGTCAAGTTAGAACCAACTCATAGCTGGCTGTCCAGCAGATTTAAGGGTCTATAAACCATTTGGGAGAAGTTTGTCCCTATTTTTCCAGTGAAGCAACTGTTGGATTCTAACTGCTTGTCTTTGAGTTAGAAGTACAACTCACCACCCACTAGGCCACCAGAACTCCCTCAATGTCATTGTTGTTGTTACTATGTGCCCTTGAGTCAAGTACAACGCATAGCGACCCTATGAACCACAGATCGGAATCCTGTCCTATCCTACGTCATCCTCATCACTTGAACCTATTGCTGCAAGTTACTGTGTCAAACTATCTTGTTGAGGGTCTTTCTTTCCTTTGCTGACCCTCCACGTTTCCAAGCATGATGCTCCTTTCCAAGGAATAGCTCCACCTAGCACCGTGCACAGAGTATGTGAGGTGAAGCTTCTCCATCGATGCCTCTTAGAAGCACTCTGGCTTCACTTTCTCCAAGATCCGTCTGTTTGTTCTTTCAGCAGGTTATGGGATATTCACCACTCTTATCTGGCACCACAACTCAAAGGCACGGATTCTTCTTCTGTCGTCTTTACTCATTGTTCAGCTCTCAGATACATAGCAGGTGGTTGAAAAGACCTCCTCTGGACTCAACTCTTTATCTTAGAAGTGAAGGCAAGCATATCTTTACAGGAGGATATTGCGCCTCCTTCTCCGGCAGAGCATCTGGTGGATTCGAACAGTGTTCCTCTGGGATTGCAGTGCAGCTTCTTGCCACTAGGCCACCAGAGCTCCCCTAGAAGGTATTTCTAAAACCCTCTTCAGCTGCAGAAGAAATGCTTCTAGGAGTCAGGAGCTAACAATTATGTTTCTAAGATAATTCCAGAAAATAGAGAATGAATGGAGAAGAAGGCCAGAAAGTCCCAAAGAAGACAAAAACATCATCAGGGAAAGGAAGAGTAACAAGTCAGTGACGGATGAATTTGCTTTGTCTGTCCCTGAGGCATCTTGCCTGCCTCCTCTTCCCCACCCCCACCCCCACCCCGAGTTCTTTTTCCAGAATTCCTGCCTTACTCACTGGTCTCAAGAGCTGGATAGACACCGCTTCCCCTCAGGAGGGGTCCATTTGTCCCTGAGGTGCTGAGGTCAGAAAGCCCCAATCCAGTCATGTGGCTGCACAGACTTGAGCAAGGATTAATAGAGGGTCAACTGAGTACCCGAATGCAATTTTTAACTTAATATGAAACAGGCACTCAAGACCATCGGGATCATTTAGTACAGTTTTGGTCTAGTCTCCTGACAACATCTTGACAAAGGAAATTGTCAGCCAGTCCACAGATAGAGCTCAAGATCGCCAGCACAGCTCAGGAAACTGTCAGGTCCAATTGCTGAAAGGACCCTTTTATTTATTTTTTTTCTTTTAACCATTGAGCTGAGGCAGCTGAAATTAGTAAATGTTGCTTTCATCATTAATGTACTGGAAGAAAAGGTCTCATAGGCCACAGACTCAAAGACCCAGCAGACAAAAAAGACATCTGCCCTGTGGCTTCATACAGTCTTACGTGGCTGTCACTCTGAGAGAATATGGAGGATTTAGCAGCTGGCAGGTCACAGGGGCGCCAAAGCTGAAGTCACAGGTAAATGACACTCTTTAGTCTTGGGCATTTGGCAATTACCAAAGAACAAAACAAAATAACCACCTTCTCCCTGGGACCTCTGTCCGGAGAAAGACAAAGAGAGTTCTGCCCACTTTTACTAAGGATCTGTTTAAAGCATCAGCTACTTCTGAATAACTGTTAGTGCTGGTGGTGTTAGATGCCATCAAGTCAAGTACAACAAATAGTGATCTTAAGAACAACAGACTGGCATCTTGCCCTCCTCTGTGCCATCCTCGTGGTATCTGTTATGTTCAAGCCCGTTGTTACCGGGTCAGTCCATCTTGTTGAGGGTCTTCCTCTCTTTCACTGGCCCTCCACCTTTCATAACATGATGTCTTTTTCCAGGAACCAGCACCTCCTGACAACATGCCCAAACACAGATTTTCTGCCTCTGAGGAGCACTCGGGTTGTAGTTCTTTCAAGACTAAAAAACTCATTACCATTAAATCAGAACCGATTCAAAGCTGACCCTCCAGTAAGTTTTCAGAGGAGCTTGCCATCTTCTCCTCTGGTTCCCACAGAGCAGCTAGTGCATTTGAACTGCTTGTCTTTGGATTGGCAGTGCAATTCCTTACCACTAGGCCATCAGAGCCCCCTAAATCAATACTACTAGTGATTGTTCAACAATCATTTGAGAGCTGGTGCCAGCTTTTGCTGACGTAGCATATAATAAGCCTCAAGAGGTCATTTCACCAGGACTTCCAGTATTCCAGCCCGGACCCAGGTCTTGGCATCCAGGCATAGCACTGGATGTGGAAGTGGAAGGTGAGAGCTGGGGAATGAGGAGCAGGTTTGGGAGGCTGTGGCCTTCCCACACGGAAGCAGCGGCCAGTGCACTGAGAGTCTCCAGAGACCTGGGAGAGGAGGCTGCTGGCACAGACCAGGGCGTGATACACTCACATGGTGAGAAAGAAGCGTTTCTTTTCATCTAAAGGGTAGAGCTGGGTAACAGCATTTCTTTCACTACAACGTAAGTCATTCTGTTCTGGGATATTGTTGCTATAGTGAAATTTTTAAAAGAAAGATTAAAAAGCAGCAACAGAGTGCATCTAATTTCCAAAATCAATCTCCATAATAGTCTATGTGTTTCCTACTGCCAAAGGGGCCCTTTAGAGTAGTGACAGAATATCTTCCCCCTGAAACCTACAGCGTCCCTTTTCAGCAGGAAGTAGCTAAGAGAATACACCATCCCCTTTTCCTTATGAATCAGGGTGAAGTCTCTCTCAGGGAGGAGTGATAGGGAATGGCAAGGGACACACTGACAAAGAAGATTAATCAGAACTGGCTTTGACAAGCACTGTGGCAATTGGACAATTAAAACAGACATTCAAGGGGGAGAAAGAACAAACTGGGGAGGAGGGTAGAGAAAACAGTGCAACAATGAATGAATGAAAACCCAAAATCTCTGTAAATGTTCATGAAAACTAATAAAATTTAATAAAAAAAAAAAGCAGCAGCAACAGGTTGCCTGGGAACCATCGTTACACACACACCCTGTTTCTAAACCTCGAGTGTCTCACCTTTAAACACGTCTTTATTGATGGCTTTACTGGAGTTAGGGATCTTAGTGCCACAATTCTCACACCTGTTGCTTTGAAGTCCCATGCCAGAATCAGAATAGGAGCTATTTCCTGCAACAGAGCCTGAAAAAGTCCACGTTGCACAAAGGAAAGGTCAGTTTCTGTGATATAAAATGTGGTGCTGGGAAAAGAACTCGTAAGCGTTCCAGGTGAGCACTGGGCACCATTGTGAGCCTCCTCCCGGGCTGTGATTCCACGGCGAGTGACCAGCCCAAGAGCCTGGGATTCCCTTCGGTCATCTGAGTGTTTTGGTAAGCAATAGTCCTATGCACCCAGCACATAAAACCAAAACCCACTTGCCGTGAAGTCAGTCCTGACTTGAGGAGACCGCACATGTGCGTGGCGAACTTGTGCCCCATCGTTCAGCAGTGGTACTGCCCTCCTTCCTTCTTAGGTGCCCAAGGGTGGCCTCAACCCAGCAACCTCCCGGTTCGTAGTTGAGCACTCAACTCTTTGTGCCACTCTTTGTTACGTGGGCGGGACAATCAGTTAAACTCTCCACTACTGTGAGGTTGGCAGTGTGAACTCACACAGAGGTGCTGCAGAAGAAAGGCCTGGCAATCAACTTCCAGGAGGTCAGAAGGCAGTCCCCCTGGGGGCAGTCCTGCTCTGCACACGTGGTGTCATTATGAGTTGGAATCAAAGAGCTGCTATCTGGTTTTGTTTTATTCTTGTTATTATTACATGAGAATGTATCATCTACTGAGTGAGAAGGGAGTTCTGGTGGCCTGGTGCATCAGAAGTTGTGCTGTCAACCCAAAAACAGACTATTTGAATCCACCAGCTGCTCCACAGGAGAGAAATGGGAAATCTCCTGTGTAATTTACAGCCTCTGACAACCCACTGGAGGGTCAGCCATGAGCTGGTTCTGACTCCACCACAAAGGACAACTGGAGGGGTCGGTACACAAGTAGCTGTGGCATAACAGACCACTGAGTTGAAGGAAGGCCTGGCCGTCTCTCTGGCCAGCTTCCCCAGGTGTGAGCTGTGGAGGGCAGGCTCTGGCAGCCCTTCCCCAGCCCCGGAGCTGCCTGAGCAGGCAGGCTTTGCCGCCCCTCTTCACGGAGGCAGTTCTGCCAGGGGATTTCTTTTCTGCTCGGTGAAAAGATTGTATGACTAACAGCTATTGGATTCCAGGCACTGGCTGCTACTTTGTCTCCTCCCACCTCGAACTTTATCTGCTTCAGTGAGATGTGCACAGACACACTGGTGCCATTGAAGAACACCTGTCACGTGGCCAGTCACCCTACCAGGTGCAGCTACGCCTCCTGGTGGAAGGATGACGACAAAGAGAACCGAGGACAGCCTGGTGGCCAGGCCCATGGAGTCGGGTGAGTCCAGGGAGAAATGGTGCTGGCTCTTCACTCTTCCTGTGTCTTATTTAAATCTATTATTCATGATTTATGTTTAAAATTTCACCTAAAAGATACAGCATGCAACACTCAGGTTGACTGCAATGCCATGGGGGGCGGGCAAGCTGGCTCCCAGCATGAGTGACCACATGGAAAGGGCCCTTGAAGGCTGAGTTCCCCCACCCCAGACCCCTCCACTTACTGCAAGTTGAACACAGGTACAAAGGGTTTTCTTGTATGATGATTGAAAATCTTCCACAGCTGAACTTTCTGTGACCTCTTCTCTCCATTCTTTGCTTCCTAGAAAGGGTGCATAAGATTATTTTAACTTCTAGAACGTGTATAATAAGAGTGGTAGGGAATGCATTGGCAAAACAGAAACACGTTTCTTATATTATAGATCCAGATAACGTACTTAGAAAGGGTGTGTCATTTCCCCTCGCCCCATCCTTGCCTGTTTCAGAGTCACCCCAGGAGAAACTGACATAATAAGAACATTTACATCAAACGTTAAAGAGAAATATATTTTAGAACATCAATTTTCCATAGAGTCCACAAGTCCTGGGGCCATTGAGGCTAAATGAGCCTCCAAAACAAAATATGTGTGGGCAGCGAGAAAAGTGCGGCAATGAATGAATGGAAATCCAAAACCTCTGTAAATGTCTATTAAAATTAATTTTAAAAAAAACCACACACCTATTGGATTGTCATATAAAGGGTTTCTTGTTGTAGATTGAATTGTGTTTCCCAAATAATGTATTATATATCCTAACCTCTAGGTCTGAGATTGTATTCCCACAGATTAATGAGTTGTCTTTGTTCTTTTGAGAAGAGTTGATTAGGGTAGTTTGCATCATTGAGATAGGAAAGAGATCAAAACCAAGCCACTCCATAGAGAATGGGGTAGAGATGTGTCAACTAGCATGAAGACAGAGCAAGAAGAGACACTCGAAGAAATGGATATTGCTCTAGAACTGACGGAAAAACTTCCCCTGAAGGTGGCATTCTGAGTTTGACCTTGCTGTTTAAACTGATAGAAACCCAACTCATTTGTTACAGTCATCAACTTGAGTTGCTTCTGTTATAGTAGAGATGAGAGTCAGAATTTCTAGGGAAGGATGTGGGCTTGGGAAATCCATGTGACATTGTACTTGCATGGATGATTGTAGAGAAATAAAATGGACAAAAACAGAAAAAAAAAAGAAGTGAAAAAAAAAAAAAGTAAAACCAGCCAAAATTATGCTCATTACTGCCCAGGTAGATTAACTCATAGCTGACCTTCTAGTGGGTTTCCAGACCCAGAAAGCATTAAAGAAGATGGAAGGAATACACAGAATCATTGTGCCAAAAAGAACTGATTGACACTGAAAAATTTCAGGAAGTAACATATGAACAGGAGACAATGGTAATAGAGAAAGTCGAAGCTACATTGAAGGCATTGGCAAAAAAATAAAGCCCCAGAAATCGGTGGGATACCAATTGACTTGTTTCAATTAACAGATTTAACCTTGGATGTGCTCATCAGTCTAAGGAAATTGGGAGGATGGCTATCTGTCTGACTGACTGGAAGAAGACCATATTTGTTACTATTTCCAAGAGAGGTGATCCAACTGAATATGGAAACTTCAAACAATATCATTAATATCACATGCAAGCAAAATACTGCTAAAGATCATTCCAAAATGGCTGGAACAGTACATAGATAGAGAACTGTCAGAAGTTCAAGCAGGATTTGGAAGAGACCTTGACACCAGGGATATCATTGCTGATGTCAGATGGATCCTGGCTGAAAGTAAGAAATACCAGAAGAATGTCTATTTGTGCTTTATTGACTATGCAAAAGCATATGTAATGTTAGGACTTTGTGGATCATAACAAATTATGGCTGACATTGAGAAGAACGGGAATTCCAGAGCACTTGATTGTGCTCATGCAAAACCTATACCTGAACCAGGAGGCTATTGTGCAAACAGAGCAGGGAAACATTGCATAGTTTAAAATTAAGAAGAGTGTATCAGGCTTTTATTCTCTCTCCCCACATCTACTCAGTCTCTACACTGAGCAAATTATTTCAGAAGCTGGACTCTATGAGGAGGAGTGTGGCATCAGGCTTGGAGGGAGACTCATCAATAACCTGTGTTATGCATATGACACAACTTTGCTTGCTGAATGTGAGGAGGGCTTGAAGAATTTGTTGCAGAAGATCAAGGAATACAGCCTTTGGTATGGATTGCATCTCAATGTCAGGAAAACAAAGATTCTTACCACTAGACCAAAAGCATCATGATGGATGGAGAGGAGATTGAAACTGTCAACAGCTTCATCTTACTTGGATCCACAGTTAACATCCTTGGTACTAGCAGTCAGGAAATAAGGAGACAAACTGCACTGGGAAAATCCTCAGTTAGGGACATTTCCAAATTATTGAGGAGTAGTTACATCAGTTTGAGGACTAAGGTGCTTCTGATTCAGGTCATAGTCTTTCTGATTACTAGCTATGCATCTGAGAGCTGGAATAAGAATGACAGAAAAAATAATTAACTCCTTTGAGCTGTGATGTTGGAGAAGAGCACTGAACATCCCATAGACGGCCAAGAGAATGAACAGATATGTTTTAGAGAGGGAGCAGAGTGCTCTTAGGAGGCAAGAATGATGAGGCTTCACCTCACATACTTTGAACATGTTGCTAGGAGGTGCTATTCTTTGGAGAAGGACATGGGAAGGGTGGAGGGTTGGTGAAGGAGAGGAAAACACTTAACTCAGTGGATTGATACAGTGACTCCTGCAATGGGCTTTTGTGTGTCAGGAAGTGTGAGGATGGCCCAGGATAGAACAGGGTTCAGATCTTTTGTTCACAGGGTTGCTATGAGTCCTGCTTGACTTGACAGCATCTAATAACAACAAGAGAGATTGTCCATCTTTCTCCTGAAGGGCTGCTGCATAATTCCCCTCACCCCGCCACTACACCACCAACACTTCCTTTCAAATTACTGTTTGAAGCCGATTAAAAGCTGGTCCTCCATTGCGTTTCCAAGGTTGTAAATCACATAGGAGGAGACTGCCCATCTTTCTCCCATAGAGCTGGTGGTGCAGAGAGGTGCTGCCTTTGGGTTAGCCCAGCAACTCCCTAAGGACTATGCTACCCAAGCCCCCTAAACCAAACAAATTGTTGTTGCTTTGTTGTTGATGATGATGATGCTGTTAAGTGCTGCTGAGTCGAACACCAGATGGGAACCTTGTCCTAGCCGGCACCACCCGCACCATGGCTGATGTCCAGCGTGAGTCCATTGTTACAGTCTCTGTGTCATCCTGTCTCGATGCATGTCTTCCTCTTTGGCTGGCCTTCTAACCTTCTCAGCATGTTGTCTTTTTCCAGGACCGGCTTCCTCTTGACAATATGGCCAAAGTATGTGAGATGAAGTTTTACCGTCCTTGCCTCTAGGGAGAACCTTGGTTGCATTTCCTCCTTCGGCAGTCCATAGGCTATTCCTTATTCCTCACTAACACCACAGTTCAAAGGCATTGATTCTTCTTCTTCTGCCTTCTTTATCTACTGTCCAACTTTCAGATGCATAAGCAATTGAAAACACCATGGCTTGGATCAGATGCATCTTAGTCTTTAAGCTGGCTAGTTAGCACTGTTTATAAAAGACAGCACATTAATGAGGTCCTTAAGAGTATATTGTTCCAATACAACACACGTTTTGATTTCTTGATTGCTACTGCCATGGGTTGATTGTGAATCTAAATTTGTTTTAAAACCAAACAAGAAGTTAGCTTAATTAGAAAAGAATGTCTACCTGGAGCATTGTGTTCTTTTCCAGAACTCACTATGAGATCCAAGTGACAACAGCAATTTGAAAATTTAGACAAGAAGTTTAGGGGTAGTGAGTTTACGTTGATAGCACTGTAATAATAATCAAAAAAGAGGGTTAAGAAAGAATATGTGGCACAGTTTGAAGAATGTAGCCAATGTCACTGAATCAGGCATGGAGACATTGTTGAATTGATGTATGTTTTGCTGTGATATCTTAACCAAAATGATAATAAACAATTTTTTTTTTATCCTGTGGAGGACTACATCTGTTCATCATACACAACTGTACAAAATAGATATTTGAAGTATGGAATGATAAACTTCATTTTCCTCAAACCTCAAAATTGATTCCTACTAGAAGAAGGAACTGCAAAATATATCAATATATATGCAATACCTGATCAAATGGCTTTAGCTCTTGTAATATAAGGAAAAATGGAGGCAGGGAAATAGCGTTTGCTCCATGCCTGGGGTTAAAGGAGATGAGAGCATTAACAGAGTTAACAGAGGCTGCCAATGGCCAGCAGGGGGCACCAGAGAGCAGCTACTACCACTGTCATTCACCAGAGGATGGTTCAGGATGGAAGCTTGGGTTTCCCTACTTCGTAGAAATTCTAATTTTTCAAAGGAATTCTGATTAATAACAATTCCTGGATAGCTCTGCCTCTGAGATACAGAATACCTTCAAGGGAAAGTTGCTCATTCTTCGTGTGAAGGGCTCTGTATGCAAGCTCTCCTGGATGACTCTGGTGCAGGGATGGGTTAGCAGAGCCCCTGCCTGATGCAAACGCGTCTGTCCGGGCCTGCGCCTGCGCCTGCTGCCGGTGGAGAGAGGCCTGCGCTTGGGGTTTGTGGTGTTGGGGGGCTGAGCAGCCAGGCCATTTCCCTCTTGGAAAAATATACTCTCCTCCTGAGTCATAGATTTTCTCACACTTCATTTTCTGTCTCCACCCTCCTCGTTCAGGGCATTAGAACATCTGCTCCCCAAAATGGAACTTTGGATCTCACTCAAGTGAGTTCAGTCCAACCAGAGCTTTCTCGTCCCGATTCCTTTAAACTCTTTTGTGCACGAAAAATTTTCCTACTGAGCAGAACGATGGAGGGCACAGAGAAGGCAGTTTTTCCCCCTCAAAACAAAGTAGGTAAACTGAAGTTTCATACCAGAAATAACACAAAGGAATGAGTTTTACATATAGCCATGTTTCTGTCTGCTTTTATAAAACAATTTGCAAATAAATTGTCAGTCTTTAAGTCAGCAAACTTCATAAAGAATGAAACCTATCCAAGATCTAATTTTTGAAAAATTGTGCCGTTTATGAATCACAAAGACTGTATGGGTTTCCCTTTAATTAATTGTCCTGTTAGCAAGTTGCTAACGGTTTACCAGCAGCTCTGAGGGATGAACGATCCATACGGATTTACAGACTCTGAAGCCCAGTGGAGCGGAGCTGTGAGATGAAATCAACTGGCAGCAGTGGGCTTG